CTCTCTCTCTCTCTCTCTCTCTCTCTCTCTCTCTCTCTCTCTCTCTCACACACACACACACACACACACACACACACACACACACACACCCCTAATCTAAAAATATGAGTTCCAGGTATACTTGTAAAAGAAGAAACAGACATCCCGAACTTGAAATTATATTTAATGTACTTACTAAGCTTTCATCAGCCTCTGCTGACATGTCAGAGTATTAAGCTACTATTACAGAGACCTCTGCCTTTATATATCATTAATCAATTTAGCCCTTGTATGCGTGATAGGTCCTTCCAACCACCTCCCATCCATAATTAGCTTTGTTGTTTTTGCTTCCGTCATGTTGGTCAAAGGAGGCTTATCTCTTGTTGTTGCTTCCTGCCTTGTCCGACCTAGCCTGGAATGCTTATCTCTACATGATGTTAACCTGCCAGCTATTGCAGTTGTGGTTGGCCTGGCTTGTTCTTCATGATTCCTATCTGTTATAACTCCTCTGTATTTGGACAGGGCTGGCTGTGCCTTCATAGGATGAGTCCACATGCCCAGGGATGAGGGGGGGGGTGGGGTGCCATTGGTCCCTGCTCCCCAATGGGAAGTGGTCTCTGCTCATCCTGCAGGGTCTTTCCTGGTGTCTCAGTGCCTGGTAGACCGGTGGTAGTTCGATATGCCTATTGATAGAATTGCTGTTGGAAAACCTTCTTTTAGAAGGTGTCCTCCTTTAGTTATATCACGGGCAACAACCTCAGCCTCTTGAAAACTGAATGTGTGATTATGCTCCTGCATATGTGCCCGGATCTGAGAGCGCTGTTCTTTACACCGGACAGCCAGTTCGTGTTTGGGTACCCTGGTCTGTAGCCGCTTGGCTGTTTTCCCTACATAATTGCTTGCACAATGGCTGTCCGGCACACCCTCCCCCGCTGCTTCCCACAGCCTGGTTCTAAATCCTCCACAGCCGGAGGATTGGGGATCCCTGACATAAAGGATGGCTCCACGGTCTCCATCCAGTCTGAGCTGCCTTGAACCATGGTTTATCCAGCCTGCGGTAAACAATGTTTACTACATGTGTGTACAATGTAGTAAAGAATGTTCTTTCTGCGCCAACTCAGAAAGCTCAAACTGCCCACTGCTGATCCAGTTCTACAGAGGAATGATTGAGTCTGTCATCTGCACCTCTATAACTGTCTGGTTTGGTTCTGCAACCCGACAGGACAGACAGACTCCAGAGGATAATTAGGACGGCAGAAAAAACAATTACTACCAACCTCCCTTCCATCAAGGACCTGTATACTGCATGAGTCAAAAAGAGGGCTGTGGAAATATTTACAGACCCCTCATATCCTGGACATAAACTGTTTCAGCTCCTTCCCTCAAAACGAGGCTATAGAGCACTGCACATCAGAACAACTAGACACAAGGACAGTTTTTCCCCCAAATGCCATCACTCTGCTAACAAATAATTCCCACAACACTGTTCAACTGTTTACAAAGTCTGCACTACTATTACTATTAACCTTCTCATCACTCCTTATCATCCATCCCCTCCCACTTGTGACTGTATGACTGTAACTTTGTCGCTTGTATCCTTACGATTTATATGGACTGTTTCCTAGTATGATTTGATTTCTTATTGTGCCTTATGACTATCATTAAGTGTTGTACCTGATGATTTTTTATTTTATAGATTATTGTTTACAATTGTAAATATACAACAGTGCTGCCGTTTTGGCGTTACATTTACTATACATACAAAGATATTGCTAAACCATTAACTTTCATATTATTGATACAGTATTTGCTTTTTGGTTCTATTCATCCAGGTTATTTCTGTTCTGACCTTGCCTTCTTTTTTGTAACCACTGATAAAACTTATTCCACGTTTCATAGTAAACTGATTCCCCCTTATTTTTCAGTTCTAAGATTAGCCTATCCAATTCTGCGCAAGCCATTATTTTTTTTTTATTATTTCTCTTTCTGGTGGTATGGTTTCATTTTCCCAATATTGTGCGTATATCATTCACACCGCTGTCAAAACATGTATGATCAAATATGCTATATCTTTCCTATAACTTTCTATCATTATTCCCAAGAGAAATAATTCGGGTTTAAACGGAATATGCTCTCCCACCTCTTGTTCCACCCAAGTCTGTATCAATCTGTACCTTACGAGTCTTGACAAATGTGTCTTTTCTTTTTATGGACACAGAGAGCATTTGCACCAAGACAAATTCCTTGTGTGTCCAATCAAACTTGGCCAATAAAGTATTCATTCATTCATTCATTCATTCATTCATTCATTCATTTATTCAAACATTCATTTATTCAATCATTTATTTATTTATTTATTCAATCATTCATTCATTCAATCATTCAATCAATCATTCATTCATTCATTTATTCACTTATTCAAACATTCATTCATTCAATCATTTATTTATTTATTCATTTATTCAAACATTCATTTATTCAACCATTTATTTATTTATTTATTTATTTATTCAACCATTCATTCATTCATTCATTCATTCACATTCAAACATTCATTCATTCAATCATTTATTTATTTATTCATTCATTCATTCAATCATTCATTCATTCATTTATTCATTCATTTATTTATGTATTTATTCAATCATTCATTCAATCATTCATTCATTCATTCATTCAAACATTCATTCATTCATTCATTCATTCAAACCCTCACCGTAGTTCTTAGTGCGGATGGACAGCAAGGATCCTCTGGTGCTCCCGCCTTCATTGGCCGTCACCATGTACACCCTCACAGTTGAGCCGGGGGCCAAGCCGTGGATGACGTAGTGATGCACTGAGCCGTCCAGCACCACGGCCCCTGGAAAAGAGGAAGCAGGGAGAGGCCAGACCCACAGTCGCAAAGACTCCGTTGTCCTTGGCCCCTGCAAAGCTCACTGTGGTCGTAAGTCGAGGACACAGGTGGTCCTCGACGTACGACCACAACGGAGACCAGAATTTCTGCTGCTAAGCGAGACAGGTGTTCAGTGAGTTTCGCCCCATTTTTACAACAAACGATGATGATTTTTAAATAGGAACAGAAGCTGATTATAAAAAGGACACTTGCTGTATAAATCTTATCCGCAGTTCATGTTTCTGTTGGCTAAATCAAAGGAGGCGCTGATGGGAAGCATGCAGCTAGTCCTCGACTTACGACCTCAATTGAGCTCCAAGTTTCTGTCGCTAAGCGAGGTCGTTCTTAAGTGAACTTTGACCCATTTTGCCCCCTTTCTTGCCACATTGGTTAAGTGAAATCGCTGCAAGTTGTTAAGCTAGTCGTACAGTTTTTAAAGTACCTGGCTTGATTGCGCCTGTCAGAAAGCTGTAAAAGGGGATGATGACATGATTCCGGGACACTGCAACCGTCATAAATGTGAGACCATTGCCAAGTGCCTGAATTTTGATCATGTGACCACAGGGATGCTGCAAAGGTCATAAGAATGGAAAAAAAAAGGTCATAAGCAGGGGTGGGCTTCAAAAAAATTCAGCAAAGGGTTCTTTGCCAGGTTCCTGGGTGGGCGTGGCCATGGTGGGCGTGGCCTAGCCGACCTCCTGTACCACGGTGTGGGGGGGTGTTTTTGCCCTCCCCGGGCTCCGGAGGCTTTCTTGGAGCCTCCGGAAAGGTGAAAATGGTCTCCCCCAGGCAGGGGTGGGATTCATTTTTTTTAACAACTGGTTCTGTGGGCGTGGCTTAGTTGGTGGGTGTGGCTTGGTGGTCATGTGACTGGCTGGGCGTGGCCAACTCAACATCACTCACATCGAGGCACGCATCTCCTCGCCTGGCCTCTTGCCTCTCCTCTCCTCTCATGACTGTGGGGATGCTGCAACAGTCGTAAGTGTGAAAAAGGGTCATAAGTCACTTTTTTCAGTGCCATTGTAACGTTGAACGGTCACTCCGCACAAGCAAAGTACCAGCAAAGGAGGGGAAAAAAACTCCAGAGACGTTCCAGAGACAGGAAGTCTAGTCCCGCCAAGAATGTAATAAGGGTTAACGGAGAGGCAGTTTCTGTAAGCAACACCAGAATGTTTCCTTCCTGCCTTCCTTACAGGATTAGGCCAGTAATTTCTTCTAACAACCGGTTCTCCGAACTGCTTAGAATGTTAACAACTGGTTCTAGAGAATAGGTGCGAACTGGTACCGTGTTTCTCACATAATAAGGCCGGGCCTTATTTTTTTTTGACCCCCGAAAAAACGGCTAGGACGTCTTTTCGGGGGGTGACTTAATTCTCCCCCCTTGCATCCTCGGGTGGGTGGGCGGGCGGTGACAGCTTGGATATTCGGGAGACCTTCGGGTTCGGGCCACCGTTGCTTTCCCTTCTCCCTTGCTGCCGCGGCTTTTGGCGCAGCCACGTGCGGCCAGTCAGGGCTCCTCCCTGCAACCGGAACCCTGAGGAGACACTTGGCTTCAGGGGCTCCCGTCTTCCCTTTGCTTTCGAAGGTAAAGCGAATTATTTTACAAAGCCTCCCCTGCCCGAGAGGGCAGCCCAACCCCACGTGGGGAGGCTAATCTCCCGGGGCCTCTTCCGTTCCTCCCCGACCTCCCTACGCTGCGCGCCTCTGACGCGCCGCTCCCTTCAGCCCAGCAAGCTCTTCCACCTCAAAGAAAGGCCAGGCGGGTGGCTGCGGAGCAGCAGCAGCGGGTCTGAGCCGCTCGCAGCGGAAACAGCCACCACCTGTAGCCCGACGCGGGGAGAACGAGCGAGGTTAGCGCCCGCCAGCCCGGGCGAGATTTGGGAACGAGGGGCAGGAGGAGGCACGCACACACCCGCGGCTCACTTTCCCAGCTTTGCCCAGCCCTTACGGCTCTGGCGCGGCCCTGGCGGGCAGCGAGCGCCTCCCCGCCGGACCCTCCGCTCATCCTGCCAGGGCCGCGCCAGAGCTGTAAAATAATGTAAAATAATTTGTAAAATAATTTGTAAAATAATTCGCTTTACCTTCGAAAGCAAAGGGAAGACAGGAGCGCCTGAAGCCAAGTGTCTCCTCAGGGCTCCGGTTGCAGGGAGGAGCCCTGACTGGCCGCACGTGGCTGTGCCAAACGCCGCGGCAGCAAGGGAGAAGGGGCAGCAAGGGAGAAGGGAGAAGCAACGGTGGAAGGTCTCCCGATATGAAGTGCCCCACCAACGCAGGCAGCACCATATCCGGGCATGCAACAAAAGTACTTACTAACGACAAGCCCGCCCCCCCCCCCGCTCTCCCCCCCCCATTTTGCATGTTTAATATGGGGCTTAATTTGGGGGGAGGGGCTTAATTTGATTTTATGCCAATAAAACATGGTGGGGCTTCCTATTGGTGGAGGCCGTATTGTTGGAGAAACACGGTAGAATCCCACCCCTGTCCCTAGGCTCCAGAGGCTCTCTGGAAGCTGGAAACAAGCCCATTTCCGGCCTCCCAGAACTTCTGGGAGGCCCGTTTTTCGCCTTCCCCGAGCCTCCGCACACGCCCTGCACTTACCTGCATCCAAAACAGGCTGTGTGGGGAATCCTGGGAGGGGGGCCATCCAGGAGTGGGATTTTTGGGGGTTCTCCGAACTGCCCAGAATCTTAGCTAGGGGCCCTCCCGAACCCCCGCAAACCCCCAGCAGCCCAGCCCTCGTCATACGTCACTTTTTTTCAGTGCCGTTATAACTTTGAACGGTCCCTAAATGAAGTGTTGTAAATCAAGGACCGCCTGTGCTTAGGGTCACACTATCAAGAATGTTTCATTCGTGCAGGTTTCAAGAATAAACTGCAGGCTCAGGACAGTCCGGTCGTGAAGGCGCTGGACTAGAAGTGGGGTGCGTGAGAGAAAGACTTTGAGAGACACGGGGCAAAGCAATGTGGTGCAGGGCAGGGGTCTCCAACCTTGGCAACTTTAAGCCTGGCAGACTTCAACTCCCAGAATTCCCCAGCCAGCTTTTCTCAGCCAACCTAACTCTTTGCCGAGAAGCATAAGGTTTCTCCTTACGATAGGCCTCCTTCTTCTCTTCCTTGTAGTAAAGGGTGTAGTTCTGGATCTCGCCACCTTGTTCTTCCAAGGGGAGCCTCTCCCACTGCAGCTCCACCCAAGATTTCCAGACCTGAGTGGGATACAAAGCCGGGGCCCGAAGTGGAGCTGGAAAATAGAAAGGAGACATCTAGGCATCAGCGAGTAGACCCCGACACCGAAAGGGACAGATGCGTATAAGAATAGGATGCCAAACACTTAGGGTTTTTAATGGAAATACCACTGCACCCCCTCCCGCCTCACCCTTAAATCAGTGGTGCAATTCAACTGGTGTAACCATCGGTTCGGCACGCACAGCATTTAGAAAAGACAATTTGTAGCTATAGTACTTGCCTTCCCGGTGAATAAAACAGCTGGTGCGTGGCAAACTGCTCTGCCGCGCGAATCAGCTGTGCTCAAAATCAAGGAAATAAAGCTCAGGAAAAGGACAGGGGCGGGGCCAAAATAATCACCGGAACTACCGGTTCGCCTGAACCACCCAAACCGGTAGAATCCCACCCTCCCTGCCCTTAATCCCTATGTTTCTTGCTTGCTGACCCCACAGCCTATTCGTTGAAGAAGTCCATATCTGAAATGGAACCTGAGCATGACCTTGGAAGGCAGAGGGCGAGATGCTGCTGTAGTGGAATGTAGTCTGGATTCCCAGAAGGGAGGGGCTGCATTCCAGAGGAAGAAAGTGAATATACGGTACAGAAGGGACCCCGGAGGTCTTCTAGTCTGAACCCTCCCCCCCACCCCATTCGAGCGGGAGACCCTAGACCAGCGGTCCCCAACCTTTCCAGCTTTCCAAGGTGGATGGATGGATAAGGTATTTAAATAGACAGGTAGGCAGGTAGGTAGGTAAATAGATAGCTAGAGAGAAGGGTGGAGAGAGAGAAAGGTAGGCAGGCAGGCAGACAGACAGGCAAATCCTCTCTAATGAATGAGGTAGTTAAAAGAGACAGCAGACAAGATTTCCCTTTCAGATTTGCAAGTTTCTTTCTTTTCTGCGGTGGTGCATCCTCCCTTCAGGCATCAGAATGGCCTTTCGTAAGGCCCTAAAAAACTGCCCCTGCTCCTGAGCCTGCGGCGCTGAATGTGTCAAGTGCCCCGTTTCCTGATTTTATTGCTAAGTGGCCAAGGATCTCAGCTATTATATGTAATTATTTTGGGGGTTGGTTTTTCTTATTTTTAAAATGTATTTCGTCTTTTCGCTGCCATATGTCTTTTTTTTTTTTTGAAATCGTAAGCTTCCCAGAATGATTGATTGAGATGGGCCGGCTATAGAAACGGATTGAATGAAGGAATGAGTGCGTGCTGTTAATGTAGCTTTATAATAAAATATGTAATCTTGTTGTGTTTCCTGCCTCATCTACGTAGGAGGCTGAGATCGAACTTACAAGTCTGAAAGTACAAATCCCCCACCATCTCTTTTTGTTGTCCTGAGGACTGATCTTTTTTATCTTTCTTTCTCTGCCTGTTACACATTTGCGGGCTCCTTCACCTTTTATCTGGTCGTTCCCCCTTTTCTCCCAAGGACATTCTCACATTCCTTTAGAACAGAGTGTGTGTGTGTGTGTGTGTGTGTGTGTGTGTGTGTGTGTGTGTGTGTGTGTGTGTGTCCAAACTTGGCAACTCTTAAGACTTGTGGACTTCAACTCCCAGAATTCCTCTGCCAGCCCATTCCTCAGCCAGCTGATATATTACAATGAAAACACTAAAAGTATTTTAAAACTCTAAAAAAAAACGAATCCAAAGTAAATAC